GGTAAAAATTTCATAACAATCAGTACACAAATTTTTGAGTAATGTTGTCCAAAGACAGAATTACAGACAGACGGACAGACATATGCGACCTAAAATATTACCTCCTTGGCGGAGGTAATAAGTACAGGTATATAGGTGGAGGTAGATAATTTAGAAAGTAAAGGTCACAGCAGTGGCAGTGGTGAATGGAGCATTTGGGGCTGAAACCCTCAAACTATGCAAGAGTAGCTCTTGCATTTTTCAGGGATCAACATTGGCAATCTCCGTCCAGAAAAGCAGAAAGAGTAATGGGAACAGATAAAATACTGCATAGATCCCTTAAGCTCCCAGGTCTGTGGCAGAGGACGGGTGTGAAGGTGACCGCTCAAAGACTGCCAAGTCTCCTTGGTGAACTTCTGTGAGCAAAACTCAGTCAGCTGTGATGGTCATTGCTGTAAAATCCAGTCAAACATACAGTCAGTGAAAATCTACAAGGTACAATACGTAGAAGGCTAAAAGTATGCACAGATATTATCAATCAGTGTTTGGAGGCTGAGCTTTCAACAGTTTGGTGTAGTGACATTATTCTCACTAGAACAGTCGATCCAGTCRCTGTTGTTTCTGCCACAATGGAAGACCATTCACATTAATCAGTCTGTCTTTGTACAATGAAGAACACTGGGAAAACTCAACCACATCCTCTCAGTAATCAGGATGGAAAAGCAGGTACACAACACAGAAAAAGAGTAAACTAACAGAAAATTACAGATGGCTGTGTCTCTTATTACTGAAGCAAATCACATTAGATACACCCTGGAAGCCTGAAATAGCTGCAGCAGTGGTCCCCTCTCTACTGCAATAAAACTTTATAACCATTTATTTTCATCTTCCTCTGTGGTGTTACTGTTCTTTCTTTGGCTCAAATTTCTCTTACAAAACTTCAACTTCAATGCCACTTCTTCAATCTTAGTCAGTTTGCAGTTCAGTTAMTCTTTTTGTTTCCGTCTTTCAAAGTCTGCTTGCCTTTGTGTCACTTTCTCTCTGCTGACCAGACAGATTCAGTGTATTCAAATGGAATATAAGGGCAGCGTGTTGCATTATTCAAACTCTTCAAAGACACAGCAGCTGGGAACAATGACAGACAAATTCCCATTAAAACAGGACATTTCCTCAGCCAACAAACCCTAACACCATGGTAAAAGATTAAAGATGCTGCGGTTCATCTGAGAGGAGTGAACACACAAACCCTTATCAAAGTAAGATGAATGGACTTTTTTTCTTAACAAAAAACACTTTTGGAACAACTGTGAAAAAAAAGTTGAGTCGCAGTACAAGGATCTTTGTATTTCCACTGACAAAGACTGACACCTGAGARTGTTTCTTGCCTGTTACCACCAAAATGTTTTGTGGGATCGGAAGTTAAAACTGAGAGGCCAGTTAGCTTCCAGTTACAAGCCAGCAGGGAGGCTCAGCTTAAAAACCACACATTACACATTGTGTGAGGGAAATCTTGAAAATAAAATCCAAAATCTGGACAGTTTCACACTGCCTTTGAACATAAGTACTGTGAGACTGTTATGGAGCCATCAAAGAAACAAAACTATTTTAGTGTTTCTAGGGTTAAGTGCACTGAGAAAATATATATTTTTAAATTAGATTTTTTTAAATAGTATAAGAACAAAATAAAACAGAGATTCTTAAGGTTACCTTAAAAGGTAGTTTGATGATTTAGAGTTCTTCAGAACCGCAAAAGGGTAGGCTGCCTTCTCCAGGTCGGGGAAGAGGTCCTGCCCCATGTGGAGGAATTTAAGTTTGTTCACAAATGAGGGAAGAATGGAGCGGGAGATCGACAGGCAGATTGGTGCTGCATCTGCAGTGATGCTGGTGCTSTACCTACCGATCCCTTGTGGTGAAGTKAGAGCTGAACCAAAAGGTGAAGCTCTCGATTTACTGKTCGGTTTACATTYCAACCCTCATCTATGGTCACAAGCTTTGGGTAGTGACCAAAAGAACGAGATTGYGGATAAAAGTGGCYGAAATGAGTTTCCTTCACAGGGTGTCTGGGCTCTCCCTTAGAGATAGGGTGAGAAGCTCAGTCATCTGGGAGRGACTCAGAGTAGAGCCGCTGCTCCTCCACGTCGAGAGGAGCCAGTTGAGGTGGCTCRGRCAACTGGTTAGGATGCCTCCTGGACGCCTCCCTAGTGAGGTGTTCGGGGCATGTTCCACTGGGAGGCGGCCCAGAGGAAGACCCAGGACATGYTGGAGGGATTATGTTTCTTGGCTGGCCTGGGAACACCTTGGGATTACCCCAGACAAGCTGGCCAAAGTGGCTGGGGAGAGAGAAGTCTGGRTCTCTCTGCCTAGGCTGTTGACCCCACAACCCAACCCCAGATAAGCAGCAGAAAACAGACGKAYGGACAGAGTTCTTCGTAACATAATACCCATATTTGAAACTAAGATAAAAACAATCAATTAATTTCTTTAATGATAACTTCACATTCCTCTGCACCTGACACATCTTTGAACAATTAGCATTTAATGCATGAATGCATGAATAATTAATGTTGCGCTAATACTGTCACATCATTCTCAACATTTTTTCTACCAGAAATATTGTGGGGGGAGGGACAAGCTGATTAATTGTGGCACTCTTTCTGCCCTTTTGACTTAGTGATCTGTTTAGCCCATGGGAAGGAAATTCAYGTGATTTCATCCAATGAGAACAAACACTTTGCCAATAGCCTTTGGCTATCTTGATGTGCAAGTAAGCACACTGTTTCCCCTGGCCAGATCAATGTTTTCTCGATTAGGCTGCCTGTGCCAAAAATGGGATTCTGTAACTTTCCTCTTTGTCAGCTATTCCATCTCATGTTCATTTAAATCCTCCATATAAATATACATGCAGTAACATGATAGGTGTGATACAGGACTCGACGTGATAAGACAAATTGTGGACACGGACAAGCGAGCAGACATCATTCACCTCATGGTATTTAGCACAAACGTCAGATAGTGCAGAGTCCCACTTAAAAATCAATAGGCCTTTGCAGCAATCAATAGCTGGGTTCCTATGAGAAGCAATTAGAAAGGCAAACATGCAATGCAACCTGCCTCCTATTCTCCACTCGAGGGTTAAAACACAATTCAACACATTTGAGCGTAAGAATTAATGGTATAATTGTTATTAAATTGTATTTTCCTACATTAAAAGCATAAATTAAGGGATGATCATAAATATTTTTGTAATTTGTTGTCAAACTCTTGCACTAAGTGGCAGCACAACCCTAGAATAAGAGCCAAATTCTCATTGTTCCAGCTTTTTATCACTCCTGAAATGTGACTCAATTCACTTTTATTAGAAAGTCAGTGACTTAAGACTTTGGATTTTACTAATTTTCTTTTCAAAGATGTTTAAATTAAAAATGTTTCCAGTGTTCAAAGGTTCTTAAATATGATGTAAATGCGTAATCCACAAACTAAACTAAGTTCCAGTTAAATCTGAGAAATATTTGATATGGTAGCAAAGTCAGTAATGTTTGAATGGAGGGTCTTGTTATGTTTAGTTGCATTTCTTTTTTTTTTATTATTTTCTTCAGATTTTGTTTTCACTCTGAAGTTTCAAGTTGCTTCTTTAAAAATGTGTGAAAAGTTCAATTAATCCATTAAGAACTGCTTTAATTTTGTCTGTTTTTAATATCTAGAGAGGCTGGGGTGGGGGGTTTCATGGTAAAAGAGAACATGGATGAGTGCTCCTGAAGCTGTTTTGTTTTTCCTGAGTACCAGAGTCTTTTGATTACTTACCTATAAGAGGGCAGACAGGCCTTTTTTGTAGAGCTTTCAGCTTTTTTAAATGGTGCTGCAAGAGTAATTTCATTTTTAAATCTATAGTTTTCAGAAAAACCCTAGTTTCATTATTGTATCTAGTTTGCAGGCAGCAACTTATAAACCATAGACTTGTTACTGTGGTAACCAAGAAAATGGGGCAAATCATGTCCTGACCCATTATAAACTGTATATATAAAATACCTACACATTCTCACTCCCAAGTCGTCACATATTGACGCTTTTCCAAAGGTTCCCTCTGCGTCTTATTTTGACGCATCAGGTGCCCCCCTCGCGTCAG